TTTGGAAGGTGGATAATCAATATGTCTAGTATATAGGGTGTGCTTTGATTAAATTTTGAGGTATTTGATAATGTGATTTTGTTAATATTGAAATAGTGATAGTCATTGGGGATGTGTGGCGGTATATGATTGTTTATGGTTATGAAGTATTACTGGTTTTTTTTTAATCTCAGTAGTAGCACGGAGTCTGGAATTGTGCCCGGTATATGGCAATAGGCTCACCCCCTACTACATGGGACTCATAACATAAATAGTGAAAAGTGGGTTACATTGTACAGTGGCATAATGTGCACCTCTGCCTACCCCCTCGGGGATAAAAAGCGTGATGTAATGTTATGTCATGTGTTATGTTATGGTTATGATGATGACGGTAACGATAAATATTATATTACACAACTAAGTTGTATATGTGTATATTTATTCATTCATTTAAGCTTCATGCACAATGTGTAAATAAGGTGGACTTAATGCCGCAAGCATTTTCTCCCAGTCTGACCTTTGGGTGATGCAGAGAAGAGTGAATGGTGTGAGCAAGAAGCAAGCAACTATTTAATTGAGCAATTAAAATAGATATACTTACATATTTCAGAGATAAACATAATTATAATATATACCTACACACGAGTACAATACATTTACAGACATGCATTCATACATACATATATACATTCATTTATACATACATACATACATAAATATAGACAGTGAGTAATTAGCGTGATGATCCAGCCAACCTCTCCAAGAGAATCTCACGTACTTATATATCTATGATCACTAAGATACAGTTGTGTATGAATATATTAAAATGATTAAGTGTTAATTTGGTTAGTTTTTGTAGTTAAATAAAATAATTAATGTAAATATTTTTCTAAGACTAAAGTGCGACCGTTTTCGGAGATTTTTCACAGAATTACCGAGGAATTTTTCTCAATTGTCAAAGGCATTTTTTCATGAGTCGGAAAACCTGAAAGAATGTACCACTGTAACTGTAGTACGCATCCCTGTAAAAAATCCTTGGTACCTACTAATAAAATAATTAAAATTAACAAATAACCAATATTAATTTAAATTAACATACAGTACAACTAAAGACCTGAGTGAATAGGTTGTTTATGGGATGACGTGTTCCATCGTAGACCGCATCATCGCTTACCACCAGGCGAGATAGTGGTCAAACATCGGCCCATCAAATATAAAATTAAAAAAAACTACTGTCACAAAACACCTGAATAACAATAAAGAAAAGAAAAAAAAAATCATTCTTCATTCGAAAACTTCTCGAAAACACGAATTCAAAAGAAATGCAAATACTTTGAAAAATTCATACATTTCATCAGTACCGTCGGCAACTCAAGTACTCGGCATGGTTAGCATATCGCAGAGATGGCCTGCTCGAATATTCAACAGCTCTTTGTTGCTGACCCTACTTACGTACTAGGGTATGGTAATGAGTGACGTCACCGTTTGTTTTTGATGGCGTTTGATTTGGCTCTCAATAAGAATACATTTTTGAAAAATGTTTTTCTTATGAAGATGGTACAGATTTAGTTCAAAGTAATTATAGTCTCATTCATAGGTAATTTTTTATTCAAACATGGGTAGGCAAAGGTGGACATTACGACATTTTATGCCACTGTACAATGTAACACACACCTTTCACTATATATGTTATTAGTCTCAGGTGATCCGAAATTTAGTTTACCGGTTTACCCCTTAAAAAAACCCTCAAGTTTTATTTTGACCTTCCATGCTTCCATTTATATTTCGACTTTCGACAAGGGACCATTAGAAGCATGCTTAGTAACAACCTATATTTTTTATATGAACGTTATTTTGACAAAGGAAATTAAATGTCGCCAAAGACAAAGACTGGATAGGTGACAAAAGAGGTGACCTTATAAAAAGGCCTATTTCTTTATTAACAGTAAACTAATCAGGCGTTAAATATTAGGGTTAAGCGCGTCGCGTTGTCGAGCAGCCTTCTAACGTCGTCGTGATCGCGCACGCTGCTCATGAGGAAGAACCCCTCTGTGGTTCGAAACTAATAGATCTTTTCTCAGTATATTTACGTGAGTAACCCGCGATTTTTTTGTTAATTTAGTAGGTATGTCTCACTATAGTTGTCGTGGAGAACCTAACGGGTAACGGGTAACAGGAGAAGGAACGGGGTGATTTTTAGTCAGTAAGAGTCTGATACTCCCTCCCGCCTCACCCAGGCGGGGGCAGTCATTCGATAATTTTCCCCCATAAAAAAATGTCTGACTATAGTTACCTACTATAAAAATGTTTAGGTCATCGCACATCTATTAACACGGCTCAAACACGGCTCTGGCACGACTCCGGCACGCTGTTTGTTGCTTTGGAAACAGTAAAAAAAAGTTGTAAGCGCCGTCGGCCCGCTTCAGCTTTTTTATATTGACGTTATGAAATATCTCATACGATTTACGATTTAAAGTTTATAATTAAATGATAATGGCATTGTTGAGTTGAAGCCTTGTTTATTCGGTGTGTGATGACTTGTATTAAAACAATAAGTGAATTGAAATTCGTTAGAGGAGATTTATGTTCAGCAGTGGGCGTATTTTGGTTGATATTATAATAGCGATGATACCTAAGTAAGTAGAACTATGTATATTGATAGCATAAATAAGAAATCCATGTAAAACAAAGATCTTAGATTAAAACATCAAACATGTCAACATGTTAATTGGTGCAACGAATCCATCAACTATTAAATACTTTCATGTGCAACTGACAATACAAAAAAAACTTAAACGAATCCATATAAAAATGATGTGTATGTATTCAATCGAACTACATGAAAGCTGAACGCTCAACTACATGCTGAGATGGAGGCCCTTTTGGCATGAGCACGCACAAATTAATATTATTATTTTTGTTTTTTTTTTCTATATTTAAATTTTGTTATTATCACATTGTTGTACTGTGATGTTTTTTGTTCTTATCTCTATTATTTTAAGTTTATTATTAATATTTTGTTTATGTAAGTATCTGTACCTATTTTTTATAATCTTTGTTTAGTGTGCTGAATTGCCGAATTTTTTTTTCTTTCTTTCTTTCAATCTCCAACCCGTCAACCATGCTTGGAGATAAGCAAATTCCTCTTATAGAGAAGAGCCTAGAAAATCCGCTAGTGGTTTTGACAATAGTAATGAATGAAATGCCACCGAATATGGTTGTAATTTTATTACAAGTATCTCTAATTACACTTATTAATAACAACACAATCGAATTATCACGCCTTATCTATTTTTACAATTTCTTACACAATTCCTCTATTACAATAATTGCATCGATTACAAAAATGAATTAAAAAATCACAAAATTGCAATGATATTGCAAAAACTTATAAATAAGTCTTAACACTATCAATAGATATTATTTTTAAAACATAGGTAGGAACATACATACTTATCTTCGCATCGAAAATCGCAACCACGCTTTGTAAAGTGATGTGAAAACCCATAAACTATATTGAAAGACAAATCTAACAACTAATCTGAAAATTATATATTTCTTTTTACAATAGGTACAGCTGGTACAGGTTCTCAGATTATTCATATTGCATTTGTTCCATTCCGATCAGTGACTATCATTCTTCTTTACCTTCATTTTGTACATCTTAGGACAATTTCTACATATAGCCTATGTAGAACTTTTTAATTTGAGTCCTCCTATAAATGTGTGTGGGAGAGCCATGCTTCGGCACGATTGAGCCGGCTCGACCGGAGTGATACCACGGCCGAGCAGAAAACCGGTATGAAGCAACGCTTGCGTTGTGTTTCGTCGTGTGAGTGAGGTTACCGGAGGCCCTTTACCCTCCCCTTCCCCAATCTCCCCAATTCCTGAATCCCCAACAGTCCTCAAACAATTTTTTTTCAAAACTATGATAATAATGTTGGTCTAACACCGTTAGATGGTTGGGTTAAAGGCCTGATACATCAGGAAAGCAGTACTTCTGAACACTGCGCGTATTGTCCGGAGATTCCTCTCTCTCGAGCCCTGACCACCGGTAGCTTGGATTACTCTCGTTACTGGTGGCTTTTAATGTTTTTTTATTTATATAATCAAATGTTTAAAAATAAATCACGCAAAGAAAATAAATTAAGAGAATAATAATGTTGGTCTAAAATCTAACAGTATCATTTAGGTAGTCTGAAATTTCTGACAGTTTCGTACTCCCACGTGGTAAGCACTTGTCTTTCAGAGACCCGTAGTACCACCAAGACCTGAAGTTTTCATAAGTACTGAAAGTGTTGTATTTTTTCTTATCATTTAGTAATTTGCAAAGATCGCAGTAGCCTTTGAATTCGTCGGCTTTGTTTATGGTGTAGTATTTCTTCCAGTTGAAGAAGGCATTGTAAACTGCTGGGTTTGTGATAGTATAATGCAGGTATGCCGCTAATTTATCTTCTGTGTAAAACTGGTAATTTATGTAGGAATTTTCGGGAAGGAATCTGAAAAAGAAATGTATAATTAGGATGATGACAGGGTATGAAAATTAAAAATCTAATTATTCCGTAAGGTATAATGAAAAAGATATTAGACACGTATTTTTTATTTTGTTGTATAATAAAATGATACTTAGATAAAACGAATCAAAGTGTAGGACTGGGGGCTAGAACGTCATTTCTACGTATAAAATGTACATGGAAGTGACGTCACGCGACATTTCAAATCAATATATCGTAAAAACTATTCGTTTCCGTAAAAAATACGTGTCTAAAGTTTTTAAATAATCTACCAGACGGACATTAAAATAAAAATTAGGCATGTACCCTATTTATGGCTTACACAAATAGTTGTTCCGTACGAGAATGGAACCCATGATGCGTAGCATAACAGACGATCCAGTGCGTCAATCAACATGCGATTAACCTAAGGTGTTTTTTATTCATTACCGTTTTCTTTGCCAAAATAAAATCTTTAGGTACGACCGCTCACTAAAACATTTACTAAACTGTATGAAAGATCTGTATTTACCTGGTGTAATCAGCACCTCCCACCACAATGGGCACAGCCTCATTATGATAAGCCTTCAATACTTCAGTAGTTACATAATCCTCCGCAATACTCCCATCATAAGCTAAATAGAAGTAATATTCTCTCTGGATAGTCTCCGAACATCCTTCTTTAGGACAATTCAAATTACCACATCCGTATACATCTATCGTCAAATTAAATTCTTTTAAAGCTTTGCGTAACTTTTGTATTCCAAACGTAGTGTATGTGTTTGTTCTACAATTGTCCAAAACCCACGCTATAGCCTTCGTCTTAGTACTCACTCTAACTACGTCACTTTTGGTCGAAGTTCGCAAGTCGTTCTTCCAAATCACATTCCTGTTCGGAGCCACAACGTTTCCCACAAGATTCTTCACTTCAATAAAAGGACTGTAGATATCAGAATAAAATTTGTAAGTCCACGTCCAGTTGAAGAAGTTATCTATGCGAAGGTTGCATATAGGATGGCTGTCGGACGGTTGAATTCCGTAAAATACATATTTTTGACGTTTCGCCCTGTGCTCTGGGAGGTTGGAGAAACCCCCGGGTTGCCAGAATATGCTCATGTTAAACACAATAGCGTCGAAATTCTCGTAGTCATCGTTTAATATCGTCTTGTTTGTTGTAATGTAGCAATTTATTTCAGGACAATCTCGCTCTATGAAGGTTTCTTGTCCCTCGTATTGTAAGAGACTTTCAGCTTGTTCTGAGTTCGTTGACCAAACAAGAATATATTTAAGGTCTTTTTCAAATCTCTCAATCACAGCACCGTAGTTCCGTAATTTATTATTTTCTTGATACTTTCCGATTTGAGATACAGTGGTGTACGCAGTGTGGAACGAATAAAAGGCGAGAGCTACGTACATAAATAGCCCGGTAAAACTGACTATGAAAAATAATTTTGCAAAAGTTTCGGTTCGGGAGACTAAATACATTTTTGTCGGTTCGTTCGCGCCGCGTCTGCTGAACAATGGAAAGAAACGTCGGCTTCATCTCGATAAATAAAGAAGAATGCGTCCGCTGTCTCATTAGATGACGGTGGTAAACAAAAAATTCTTTTGATTTCAAATAAACAAAGCGAGTCAGTACACTGTACACAACTGCCTCAGTGAACAGATTCTTCAGGCATTACCGGGAATTGAGATGAACACACAATTTTGAGAATGGTTTACAATTCCAACGAGTACTTTAAATTCGATGAAAAATTCTGATAATGTTAAACCTTCTCAATGTTTCATTTCAATGAATGAAATAAAAACTACTACCAGTACTTTTTTTCTGTGGCTACTACAATGACAATTAACTGATATTCAATAGAAATTATTTAATCCTATGTGGCTAAAGACAGTAAACTTTAAACAATAAACAATGTATTGGAATAACTTCTATCGAACTCTGTATCAAAATCTTAAATCTATTTCAAACCAATCAAAACAACTATCTACAATATTACAAGATCGGTAGCCAATGAGGTTGCATAAACCGTCAACCGTCGGAATGCAAGCATTCTCGTCAAATTCCAGGAATACCGTTAGATCAGAATATTTGAGGTTCACCGTCCTCAATTATATTTACCTTAATAACGCTACCTGATTGCCCTTAAGGTATCTTGTATATTAGCTGTGGTTAATTATGTAAGGTTATGTTTAGAATTATGTTGTTATTAAAGCTTGCTACTCACAACAGCTCTAAGGAAGATTTTTTACATTGATAATATGTTAATCCTTTATTTAATTTAAACGTAGTTCAGCATACATTGTGATTGGACGTGCTTAAAAACATACACTCTACTCAGACCGGAAACCATAAGTAGTGGATTATATAAAGAGTCTAGGATTAGCATAGACTAGCATTTATCCACAAAATGCATCACTAGTTTGCCAGTTATGTAGACTTGTATGCGCCGTTTCACTGCGAAAAAGAACATGCAACATCATAATAATAAAATATATTTATTTTATTTCAAACTAACTGTAGTTATGGCTCATATAGGACACGTCTTTGCCTGTCACGTGTTCGAAAGGGGTATATTTTTATGGAATACGTAATTCTGTTTGACTTCATACGCGGTGTCCATATTTGCCGAAGACTCAACGTCCTACATGCAAAGAGAATTGTTTGTTTTCAATGTTTCATACGTCACGGGAATTCGGTTGGTAGGACTCAAATGAAACTATTGGTATGTTTGATTTTTTTGCTGTAGGTAGTATATGTTTTCTCTGTAAATATTTTGTCTAGGTTTATATGATTTTATACATAGTTTTTAAGTCTCTTCGGTCTCTCTCTCTCTCTCTGTCTCTCTCTCTTTATCTCTGTCTCTTCTTATAATATCTTCTGATTCACTTCGTTGCGGGAACCAAAACAGTTATTCATGTCCCTGGGACGCGCTACTATACGTGATCCTGGCTTACAGGAGTTGCAGCGGTTTTGGGAGGTTGTGGCGGGCTTGTCCTTGTTACACCAGGTCTCGCCAACGTAACGGTCAGAACATCCAATTATAGAAGATAGTTTTTAAGAAGGTACCCAAAAGTACAATAACTAATCTATTATTCTTTACCAGTTAACCCTTAAAAGTTGTAAATAAAATTACACTTAAAATCAATTTCAATAATGATAAGTACATACTAAACGTCTTAGATCTAATGGAACCACGCACAGCCTCTAACGAAACAGGTCTTAGCAAATAGAGGGAGACATCGGCTGATAGAAAAATTTTCTCGAGAGCTTTTTGGCTGCGAACAGACAGACAGATGGATCTCTTTGAGAGGTCTCAACGGAACATTTTATGTTTGGCATAAAGAAATAGGACAAATAGAGTTGGCGTGTGTCGTCTTTGAAGACTGCATGGTGAATGGCATTTAGTGAAGCGATTCTTTTTTCAAAATATGCTTTCTTTTTTTAAGTGTTCGAATTTATTGGCCGCCATTTTTATTTATGTCGCTAGTTCTTACGTCGTGGCTTTTAAGACTTTATGCAGTGGAAGAAAAAGAGTCATTATCATAGACACATAAAACTTATGTTATAATTTTGACTGAATGGTTGACTGATTGATTTATAAGCGGCTTTAAGTCAATATACAAACGAAACTGCTGACCATAGAAAACTGAGATTTTGAATGAAAATTCCTTCAGGAATGTAAAGATATACAAAATATTTCCCAACGTAAGCCATAGTACTTAATAATGTGGCTCAGTGTTATAATATTATGTCACTACTTTGTATACCATCCGTAAATATTGGTGATTGTATTTGTTTACAAATAACGACTTCTTCCACATATTATGTAACACTGCGGTGAGTCAGGAAAATTGTGTGTTGATTATAATACAAAGATTCGATTCAGTCAATCAGTATTAGTTATTCTTTAGTTACATTGTGATACAAGGTGGCCCTATTAAGAATAAGAAATAATTGTATTTATCGTGTTTATGTTGTGTTATAATCTGTATGATTGCTACTCAATGTGTTACGGGTTTGATTCAACACGGAACAATTTTTTGTGTGATTCATAAATTATTGTTCCGGGGCTGAGTAAGTGATGTGCATACCAACGCACCCATGATACGGGAGAAAGCCTTGGTGTCGGACAGGTATCACATCCCATCAATAGCTCATAAGTGGGCACCGACCGAAGGCTGGACACCACGGAGAAGGTTTGAGAATTAATCACCACGCTTGCTCTATGCGAGTTGGCGATTTCAGAAGAAGAAAGAAAGAAAGAAGAAGAAAAAAACTTGATTTCACGTCAAAAAACAAAGGGCATGTACAAATAAGTCATTTCAGTGTCAATGGTGTGTAAACTATCTACTTTACTCGAAAAAAAACCCATCAGTTGGTAGTTTTTAATCCACATCCTCGTATTAAAAAAAAAACAAAAAAGTATGTCTATAAAAAAAAGTTATTCAATTACCATGTTCACTGTTCAACAGTTTAGGTGCAAGCTCAAACAAAACTGGTTGTTCAAACACACACTACAACCCACCACCATTATTCAACCCCATTCATAGATCAACACACAGCACCACAAGTTTAAGGGATGAAGTTTTTCATCGAACATTCGCGTCCGATAAAATGTCGGTTGTATACGTCCGACATGTCGTTTGTCATCGGAACATTGTTTCGGAAATAACCGATAGGATGTAATAAATGACGATCGGGCAATTCGTAGTCACCCCTTTACTTTTTATTTTGTTCTCGAATAAATTGTGAATTGGTTTATCAACGCGTTGTTATCGTTTGAATATATTTTTGTGAGATTTATGTTGTGGGGTTTTGTCGGTTGCTTTCCGGAGTACAGGTGTTGGTCGTTTTGTGGTGGTTTTCAATTTTGTTTTCTTTTTTTGTGTGTGATGAGTTGGTCCATTCTAAATGGATACTGTTTGGGTCAAGCATTTTTAAATCAATATTTCTTATTATTATACGGAACCATGAATTTATAGATTTCTGTGCTAGTTGACCACGCAAATGTGGACGTATCTACAGCTTGTCTCGCGACTCATCTTACAGCGCGCCTCAAAGAGCCATCACACCACCACGGATGGTGCCCAATAGGGCTGATACCGATACGGAGCCAGTAAAAGTTTTAGTCAGTAAGAGCCTGACACTCCCTCCCGCCTCATCTAGGCGGGAGAAGTCATTCGATGATTTAAAAAAAAACCCAAAGCTTGTTGATTAAGAACTCCAGTAAGGTTCGATTCTTATCGAGTACCCTTGTAATATAACTTTTATACTCCAATTTAACAGGTTAAAGATACACAAGACATTTATTAACATCAAACTCAGATAACATAAACTACATGCAAAACACATGCACACCGATGTAACCATAATTTAATGAACCAAAGGCAACGTGGTGGCGACTTTAAAAACGCGGTAATAAGCATGCAGCCCACCTGAGGGGAGTACCTCGAAACTCGGGAGGAATGAGGTAAAATCGAAGTTCTGAAGGCAAGTTTAAAAAGTCTAATTTTCCTTCATACGCGACTGGAGTACATGAGGCTACGGCGCCGTCGGCTTTGGGATAGCGTGGATATGAATCCTTTAGAGATGTGAAACACCTGAATAATATTCGAAAATGGGCGAGTAATAAAACAATTTAAATGCACCATCTTATTGAGAGAGATGTGTGTGGTGTGTTGCCTTTGATGCTCTGGCGTTGCACAGGCTGTAGTGACAGTTTTTACTAGAAGATCCATAAACTTTCTTGATGGAGATAGTAAAATAAATAAAGAAGAAACAGCAATCTCTCTAACATAATTTTCCACGACCACCACTACTAAAGAGGATCTCTGTTCATGTATTCAAAGTATTCTCATCTTACGTTATTTTTGATTCCATCTGAAAACAAGACGTAGCAGCGCGACAGTGACCGCGTCGCGGGTCACGAAATGTTGCTCATGAATATGAGCCTCTAGCATGGCTTGACACTAGTCGAGTTCCTCGTCAAATTATTACGTGAGTTAGTCGAAAACATAATAATTTATTTAGTATGTCTCACGAAAGTTACAAAACAAAAACGAGACGTAGTATGTAAGTAAGATATAAGAGAAAGTATCAATATATTTACTACTTGGTGGTTCTTATCCACGTTATGCCACCGCGCAGGTAGCTCGCAACATCGGGCTATGCTATAATAAGGCAAAGTTGGCGATCTCACTAGTAAGATTTTCTCCCAATCATAACTTTCAAAGAAAAAGAAAATGTACCATGGAATTGCATCTAATATTTTATGATATTAATGTTTTCTTGTCTGGTTGTCTATCTGTCTTAGTTAGTCATATATTTAAATAAATAATATTGACTATCTTTTTGTAGTTCTCAGAACTACTGAGAGTTCGATAGATTATATAAGTAAGTAGCTGGAATT